TGCCCCAACCACAGCCAAAGGAAGGGGGAGCAGTGGCAGCAAACCTGGAGAGAAGTGGGCTGGGAAAGCTGCAGAGGGGTTTCTGGTGCTCTGGGGAGAGTGGATGTATCAGAGTATATCCCAAAGATCCCTGTTTGTGTCCCAGGAACAGCACTGGCTGAGGCTCTGAGCCCACAGGGCGCACAGGTCAGAGCAGCAGAGGCCTGAGGGGAGGAAAAAGGCCTGGAGAGGGGAATGATTCCCAAAGGTTACCCAGAGAACCAGGGCAGGGATGAGATAACACTCTGCCTTCCTGCCTCCCGGTTCAGTGCCCGATCTATCCCAATGTGCTGCCCCAAGACCAACACAGCCCCTGCTCCTTTTTGAATTGTGTATTGGACTCATTTTCCTGCCAGTCCGATGTTATCTCTGCTCTGTGAGCTGCTGGCAGCAGAAGTGCTGACTTGGAGCACTGCAGAGCCAAGGCCAGTTCTACTCACTGCTCCTCAGTGCAAACCTCAGGCCGCGTGGGAGCTGCTCCTGCTCCTGCTTTGGGGCTTTGCATCATAGCTCTGGGCCCTTCAGGAGCTGGGTCCATGTTGGTAACACTCTCTTTACAAAAATATTTCGGGAGTGATTCTCTCTCAGGATTAGGAGTGATGAAATTATATTACTGGGGGGGGGAAGAGGAAAGAAGAAAGTCACTCCTCTAGAGGTGGAAATGATCTTTCCATACCAGGATGGCTCAGTACTCAGCGTTTTTGTCTCTTCTAAGTCAGACTTTGTGGAGGAGGCTGAAGCTTTGATCTTTAGCAATGCCTTTTAAATGTGGTTATGGTCAGAAAAGTGAAGGTAACGAGCTCAGAGTTGTATTCAGTGAACACACATTGCAGGTACCTGGAAGGGGCTGTTGTTGAGGGCAGTGGGTGATACCTGGGGTGAAAGCACCAAACCAGGGCTCATGGTCACCTCCCCAGCCCCTGTTCTCCTGGCCTTTCTCCTTTCTCAAATGTCCTCCTCCTAAGAGGAGTCTTTTTTAAAGCATTCAGGCCACCTCCCTTTCCTGGTGAGGAACCAGGATAACTTGCTGGGAGCACTGGTGGACTGGCAGCCCTCCCCAGTGCGTGACCAGAAGATCAAGCTGGTTGTTCCCTGCCCACAGGACCAAAATCAAACTGTACCTCACCCTATGTAGCACTTAAACCTGGGACCTGGGTCTAGATGGCTCATCTAAAGAAAGGAAAAACTGCAAATTCGCCCTTTTACAACTCTAAACTGCTGCATAAATAACAGCCAAGGCCCAGATTCGTGTCTGAGAGCTGCAGCAGTGTGTCAGCCCCTCGCAGAGCTGGTTCAGCCCCTCGTTTGCACAGTTCAGTGCTGGGGCTGCCCTGGAGAGCCTGGGCTGGGCTTCCCAGGGAGCTGGACTTGCCTCTGGTTGTGTGAGCTGCCAGAGACAGGACTTGCCACATTTATGCCAGGAATGTGATTAAAAACTGGAAAAACTGAAGCTGGCCTATTCCCAGAGGCCATATAATGTAACATATATGCCAGAGGAACACACACAAGCCCCCTGTCTCAGGCTCAGTCTGGGCAGCCCAAGGGCACAGCGCGGGGGGCAGAGGTGTGGGGGGACCCTGGCGAGCTGGGGCTGTCTGGGCAGGTTGTGTTGGCACCCAAACAGCTCAGTGTGTTTGCCCAGTTGCCCGTCACCAAACACCAAGCAGCTCTCAGTTCCAGGGGAGAGACATTTGCCCTCTGGTATTGAATTTAACTGCTGGTCTTTGCCTCAGCCAAACACACCCTGAACAGACCAGCCCTTCAGGACTGCAGCTGGCCAGGCAGAGCCCCTTGCAGGGAGCACAAGGAAGGTTCTACACGTTTTTTAGCTGTAGCCTGACACTCTGGCAGGGTCAGGCAAGCCCTGTCCTCTTCCAAGGGATTTAATGAGCGCTGGGTCCCCGTCACCGCCGGGACGTTCCCGGGTGCTCCCCTGGCAGCAGAGGCACCTCACCAGCCCTGTGGGTTTGTTCAGCTGTGGCTGCAGACACCACAGTGGAGCTGATGGCAGCAGGGTTGGCTCTGTGCCACCCAACTTCCCCCGCCTGTCCCCAGCCCCAGGTTTGCTGTTTGCAGGAGCTGAGCAGGTGCTGCTGTCGCTGCCTCCTCTGCTCGGGCACCTCAGCTCCCCCCAGCCCTCGGGCTTCTTGGAGCTTTTGTGGCTCTCACCAAACCATTCCTGGCACAGGAGGTGCCCTGGTGGCAACCAGAGCGTTTGAATTTCTTTTCCTGTGGGCCACAGAGTTTTCAAGACAGCAAAAATGCAGCAGAAGGCAGAGCTGGGCTCCAGTGCTGCTGGGTTCCAGTGCCTCCTGCCTGTGAGGTCACCACTGGCCCAGTTAACACCAGTTGCATGCAGACAGGTCTTAGCAGCCACTTTGTCTTTCAAGGAAGATCCTTATCTGAGGAAGTGGGTTCTCCACCAGCTATTCTGTGTATCACCCAGAAGTGTGCTCCTGCCTGTGTGTGTAAAGTCAACTGGACTTGGATGCAACCCCAGTCACTGATCCAAGCCCAGGGCCATCCTTTGGAGTGTTGTTGGGTCTGGATTTTTTTGGGGCAGCCAGAAAGATCCCTGCTTTCCAAATTTTTTTGCACCTTCTTCAGAAGAAAAATGGCTTTAGGTAGAAAAAGCAGCCTAGAATTAAGTGGTCCTGACTCCACTTGAATTCAGGAGAACCCCCAAATATCTGCACAAGTCCTGCTGAAGCTACAGTGTTTGCTGTAAAAAATCTTGTGAGCAACCTCTCACACTGATTAGGTGGGATAAACATCGTAGTTATTTTCCCAGATACTGTTTCCCTTTAAAAATCTCAATTTTATGCATGTTTTTAGACTGGAAATCTCCAAACCCAAACCTTGGAAATTTTTGTTTGATGAATCTGCTGTGGTGCTCGTGGTTTCCTTGTCTCTGCCCAGCACAGGGTGGGTCTAGAGAGTCCTAAGTCAGTCCAGTAGCCCAGGAACGTGGGGTTCATCTGCCACCTCAGGCCAGAACGTGGGCAACCCCACGTTTTCTGTGCTGAGAGGAAATGGAGGCCCACAGAAAATGTGTCATTTAGGAAGCCGGGCGACATCCTGAGTTCAGCAAATCAGACAAGCAGCAAGTCACTCCATCTGACCTCTGCAGGGAAGGCTTTGCTCTCCTTCAAGAGCTGAACCAACTTGTGTTCTTGGACCTTCCTACACAGCTGAAGGTCACAGCCTGGAGACAGTCCCAGCCCTCCAAGGGACACAATTCACACCAACTCTTCCCAGGGGCAGCTTCCACTCCCTCCCTTGCTCTAATTAAAGCTGAAAAAGGGAGGGGGTGTTTCTGAAAGGTTGGGAATCCAGCAAGGAGAAGTTGCTGGAAAGGTTGAACGGTGTGAGCTCCTTCCAGGAGGCAGCATCGGCAGAGAGGGGTAACAACTCTCATTTCTGTTGTTTAATGGAGCCCCTGGGAGAGGTTGATCCCGAGATTTTTACAGCAAACACTGTAACTTCAGCAGGACTTGTGCAGATGTTTGAGGGCTCCTCCTTAGTCAGGCCCACTTAAATTCTAGGCCACTTCAGCTTATTTGGGTTTGTTACCTGATCTGAGATCAAAGATAGAAAAGTGCTGATTTCTGTAGATGCACTGCCCTGACTCTCTAAGTGGGTTAATTCAGGCTGAGGGGGATTCTCATGTTCACCCAGTAGAATCCTAATTATTGCCATTTTTTGTGGCAGTACCATGAGCCTGGTGATTCCTGATTTGCACTTGGATTTTTGTGCAATGGGAGGGTTCCATGAGCTGCACTTCTCTAAGTTTTCAGAATTTCTGTTTCCCTCCCTGGTTATGGAAGAATTTACAAAACAAACCCCCAAAACAATGACTGGGGGGACATGGGAACAGAGCAGTAATTTCTTATTTTTAAAAGCTCACAATAAGGGACTGGGCCCTGTGAATTTGGAGCATGAGGGGCTCAGCACGTACAACTTTCAGTTGTCTGTCTGTCTGTCTGTGTGCTGAGTGACCCACTGCTGCCCACACACCACTGGTATCTTTTGAATGCTCAGTGGATCACGCAGTAGGTGAGTCTGTTGCTGCCTTTGTTTTGGAGGTTGCTCCATTAATTCACATTAAAAGAGTGTGTGCTTTTAGTCTGGGAGGTTCCTCCTTCGGTTTCTGCCCTGCCAGTCATAAAGGCAGCTGTGTTATGTGTGGTTAACTGAGCTCCAGCAAGAACATGCAGACCTTGGCAGATGCACTTTGAATCACCAGGGCTGTGCCAAAGCCACCAGAGCCCAGCTTGCTTTGTGTAGGAAACCTGAGCACATCAACCCAGGGAAGTGCATGATCAAAACTTTTTGTCAACAGTTGGAGTTTCAGCAGGGGAAAAAAAAAAAAAAAGGATGACCATTTCCTGTTTTTAAGCATTTCTAGAAATGCATAGTTTGGTAAAGCACCAGTCCTACACTTCCCACAAAATAAACAAAAAGTGTAAAGTAATGCATTTTTTCCCGCACCACGAACACCCATAACTCTGACCTGCACTGGCTGCTGCTCCTTCAGCAGTAACCTCAAAACACAAACACACACAAACCCCGTGAGAGGAGATGTCACTGCAGAATTGCTGCCCACTGCACATCCCCGGGCTGAGCCGGGAGCAGCAAGTGCAGGACCTGCAGCTGGAGGCGCTTCCCTGAGCAGGGAGGGGACAGAGCAGCCCCTTCCCCGTTTGCAGAAGTGAAGCCGAGCGCTGGTGCCACCCCGAGCGAGCACGGGCAGCAAAGCAAAGCCAAGCCAGGCCAGCCCTGCTTTGCATAGGGGTTGGTGGCCCCCGGGGGCTCTGATTCAACCTGCGATCCTGGCAGATGGTGGTTGCAGACAGCGCGGGGCAGCTGCGGCCCCGCAGGTGCTCACCAGCTCAAAGGAGAACTGCAGAGGAGTTGCTGGTTTAGTCACAGCTCTTAGGGCCTGTTTTGTCTCTCCCCAGGAGGCTCTGTCGGTGGTGAGCGACGACCAGTCCCTGTTCGACTCCTCGTACGGCGCTGCCCCCCAGCTCCCCAAGGCAGATATGACGGCCTCAGGGAACCCCGACTACGGCCAACCCCACAAAATCAACCCCCTGCCCCCGCAGCAGGAGTGGATCAACCAGCCCGTCAGGGTCAGTGTCAAAAGGGAGTATGACCACATGAACGGATCCAGGTAAGAGCCTGCCCACACCTACTGTTGATTGTGGAATCACAGAATGTCCTGGGTTGGAAGGGACCCACAGGGACCAAATTCTGAGTCCAAACTCCACATGAAAGCACAGCATGGACCGTCCATTCCTGCTCCTGTCCTGCATATCAGGTCCTACAGTAGGACCACTGTAGGACCATATCCCCTTCCCCCTGCAGTTCCTTCCGCTGGGACTCGTTTTTTAATGGCCTGAGCATCCCACTCTGGCAGTTCTTCAGGATGGATCCCGCCCAGTCCCCTCAAACCCTGCCCAGAGCGGGGCAGGACCGTGCCAGGGCAGAGCTCACGCTGCAAATGCTGCTGTAAACCACACATTCCATCACCTAGTCCAGCATCCCACAGATGTGCCGTGGTCCAAGGGCTCACTAAGGTGGTCAGACCATAATAGTTGGGGTTTGTACCGGTGCTCCAGAGCAAAGCAGTGACAGCTGCACTCCTGGACTGTCAGGGCTGCACTGGAGGGCCCTTTTTACTGCATCTGAACTCTATTCCTGCTCCACCAGGGCAGGAGCAACCCTGTGAAACTGGAGAGCTGTTCGATGGAGAAGGGAAAAAGAGGACATGAGGTCCTTCAGGGCAGAGTATGAGGTGTAACAACACAAAAGTCCCATACCCACATCTTCTGTGTGGATATTGGTGACCACTGGTGACACAGAGTTCAGGAGAGGCTGGAGCAGCATTTTAACACCACGGGGTCACTGGTTGTGGTGTAACCTCTCCAGCTCACAGCCAAAAGACTTACAGCCCATTCCCCAGTCATTTGTAGTTAGAGCTGGAAGAGGTGAATCATTTCCTTGTTCAATGACAAATTGAATGACTTGAAAACATTTAATTATCACAGCTCAGGTTGCCTCTTTTAAAACCATTACTTCAAATCCAAAGCTAAGAAACAAATCCCACCTTCTTGCACATAATCTTTAGGTGTAAAAATTTCAATTTTTTTTTTCAGTTTTAAATATGTACAATATAGATAAGCTTTTATTTTTTAGCATAGGGTTTTAGAGCTCATATTAATTTTAAATTTTATTTTAATTTCAAAGTCACAAACACCTCTAGAGTAGAGTGTTAATAAACCCTCAAGGGTTTTTCTGTTCTGGGGTTACTTTAGCAGCATATTTTCTTGGTTTCTGAGAACAGTTGGAAACAGAAAGCAGCCTTGCACTTTCAGACTTTTGCAGTGAGATGATGGTGTTAAAGACATCAAACAGCAGCCTGTTTTTGTTTCCTCGTAAGAGTACAGTAGATGCTGATTCTGCTCTCAGATAAAGGTCTCTGCAGCAGTTGCTCTCTCAAGGTGATTATTTGTGGGCTGAACTCGACCTTGCCCTGGTTGTACCTCAGGATCATTTCTCAACTTCACAAAACCTACGTGGATTTTTGCACCAGTGCTTCCAATCTCAGAACTGAGGCTGAAACGGGGGGAAATGAGTTATTTCCTTAAAAACACCATCCCTGGATAACACAGAGACAAGGATGGATCTTGAAAGTACCTGCTGGGGTTTTATGATGGTCATGGGGACACCTTTGGCTCCCAAGGCTGGTTTTCTTAGGAAGAGGAAGCCCTTTGTAGCATTGCCAGGCTGCCCACGGCAAGGCCAGGCTGGATGGGGCTCTGAGGAGCCTGGGACAGTGCAAGGTGTCCCTGCCCACAGCAGGGGTGGGATGAGATGGGCTCGAAGGTCCCTTCCAACCCAAACCATTCTGGAATTCTCTGACTGCATCAGTTGCTCACACCCACAGTGTCAGATGCACACTCACAGTGCTTCCTCCCATCACACTTGTCTGTCTCACTCAGGGAAATTTTGGAAGGTCAAGGGAACAAGTAGTGCTGTCACATCCACAGGCATCACATATTTATTTGTGCTCCTCAGCCCCTGTGAGCACGTTCTGGACAGGTTCTGAGTGTGGGCACTTGTATCCCCAAATTGTCCATGCATTCATTCCCTACCTTGGAATGAAACGTTCTGGGCTGTCCTTCCCTTGGGACCCTTCTGTGCCAATGTCCTCATCTGCTCAGGGAAAAGGGAAATAATCTCATTGGACAAAGTGATTCATTACCAGCTGGAAGAGCTCTGGGAGCCCCAGAGAAAGGCCCTCCAGGAGTGTGTTGGTTCTGGGCAAAAAGGAAATCCTTCCTTATGGGCTTGCTCGAGACTATAAGGTTCTTGGGCCGAAAATACGTGTCCTCAGTGTCTCTAAAGGAGGAGTGAGAACTTCCCAGCCTGTCAGACAAAAAGGAAAAGGCTGTTTTGCATGTCAGGACCAAGCACTGCAGTACCTTCCAGCCTTACCTTTTGATAACTCGTAAGCACAGGAGCTCCAACCCACCCATGACACGAGAACATTCCCTTGGCTTCTCCAGCCTCTCCTCCTGTTCAGGGCTGAAAATGTAACATCCTTTCCTCTCGTGTCCATCACAGTCCATGGGGTTGGACTGGGCCACTCCTCTGGCAAAACCAACACATGTGTGAGTGACAGACACCAACCCCAACACAAACTCACTCCAGCTGCAGGTGGATCCCAACCCCTGTCCCCCTCCCTCTGTCCCTGCCTCTCCTGCTCTCTCTTGTTTCTCAAGGACACTCTGCCACCGAGTTCCAGCTGCCTCTCGCAGGAGCAGCCTTTGTTCTGCCTTTGTTCTGCCTTTATTCTGCCTTTATTCTGCCTTTCACCTGTGCTGTGTGGAGAGGAGGGTTTGTGTACTCAGGGACAAAGCTGCAGGGAGCTGCCAGGGGAGGAGCTGGGGACTGCAGGGGACAGTGCCCAGCTTTGCTTCTCTCTCTCAGAGACCAGCAGCAGGTCTGGGTGTGTGATGAGCTGGGCTGGTCCTCAGCAGGGTGGGAGAAGGGGTCTTTGAGGAACCTCTCCAAGCTTGTTTAGCAGAGCCCTCAAAGTCCTCCAAGAAACCCCAACCACCTCTGTGCCCCACGTCAGATTGTCCTGGTTTACACCCGAATTGGAAAGAGTCTCCCAGATAACTCCATTCCAACTGTCTGCAGGGGATGCCCAGGCAGGGATCTGTGTTTTAGGAGAGAAGATGGGACTTCTGTATAATTGCAAGATTTAGACAGAAATTTTGTGATCATTTCCAGGATTATCAGACCCAGATGCAGGTTATGGCTTCAAACTCTGCCCTTGCCTTCACAGACAGCAGCTTGCTCAGAGTAAAACCTAGGGCTATGTTTAATTATATTTAAAAAAAACCCAAAATAAACAAACAAAAAATCTTTCACATTTTAAATTCCAGTGAATGAAGGAGAAGGATTATTTAGGAAAATGTTGGGTGAAGTTTAACCCAATTTACAGTCCATGTTTATAACAGATTTTTTTGCTTATGTTTTACGTAAATTCCAAATGCAAAGAGTGAACCAAGCAAGAGAAATTCCAGATCCTGACTGTGTTTACTGAGTTACTACAGATCTGCATTTGTAGCTAAATTCAGGGAGTGATTTTTAAAAAGATGTTACAAAATTTGTCTGATCTTCAAATGTGAAAGAATGTCCCAACGTGCTGATGTGGGCAGGGATGTGGGAAAACTTCACTGGGCAATTCCAGGATTTTGTCCAGCTAAAATAATGAAGTCAGTGCTTTGAAAAGGCTCTGCAGACATTCTTTAGAGACATCCCCGAGAAGCTGTGGCTGCCCCATCCCCTGAAGTGTCCAAGGCCAGGTTGGACGGGGCCTGGAGCAACCTGGGACAGTGGGAGGTGTCCCTGCCCATGGCAGGGGGTGGGATGGATGGGCTTGAAGGTCTCTTCCAACCCAAACCACCCTGGGATCCTGTGATTTTATATTTCTCTTGCTTTAGAACATTGAAATATGTTCTGAAGGCCCCCGAGTTCAGCGACCTCAGAGGGGTTTTGTGCCACAATAATTGTGTCAAACAAACCGAAGGACCATCCGTGGTGTCTGCAGGGATCCGCTCCCCTCGGAGCAGCGTGTGAGCCCTCTAGTGGGATCCGGGGGTGCTTCCGTGCCCGGCACGGCAGCCGAGCATCCCCCTCGGGTTTGCATGGACCTGGCTGGGACAAACAACCCGAATTTTCCCGACTTTCTGCGGCTGACCCTCCTTTCTGCAGCCTCACAGTGATTTCAGTGTGATTTCCCCCTCCCGAGGCCTTCTTGGGAGCAAGGGTAAAGTGCAGGTGGATGCAGGTTTGGAGGAGCTGACTCTGTTCCCAGCCTGTCAGAGGGAACCACGAGCAGAATCCCAGTATGTCTGTGCTTCCTGCCTTCACTGCACACCAAAAAACACACTAAAATCTAATTTCAAGTGTAACTATGAAAGCTGAGGTGTTCAAATGGGGCTTTACACAAAAAAAGTGGCAAATTCAAAAAGTACAGAAGATGGGAAGAATGGAGGAAAGAAAGGATTGGAAGAGAGGGTTAGAAAGGAGGAAATATCCCTCTGATCACAGCTGAGTCAGCGTCAGAAATTCCTGAAATCCTTTATTTTGTTCTTTGGAATGGAAGCCAAAGGTGATTCCTAGACAGTAATTGTCTGTTCCAGGTGTCTGGAACCCAGGCTGAAGCTGTGCAGAGGGTTTATTAGTCAGTGCCAGGAGAGCTGCTTGTCTAAGACTTTCCCAAACACCACACTCTTGGCATCCCCCGAGACTGCCACTGGAGCTGCTGGAACGAGGAGCCTTTGGACAGACAGTGGGAATGGGTTCTGCTTCATATTCCTTGGCCTCTGTCATTGCCACAGGGATGTTGTGAAAGCAGCCTGTATCCATTCATCTGGGTAGATCCACGTTTTCTGCCCAGAGCCTGAGCAAATCCAGCCTGTGGAACCACCTGAAAGTCTGGAGTCTGTGAAAAACCAAGGATTAATCTGGAATCTGCAATCCCCTCCCACAAACATTTTCAAATAATGAGGAAATCTTCATCTAAATCCAAGCCTGCCTGTGGGCAGTGCATGAGCTAAGGAAGGGGTGATATTCCATGGATACACCATTCCTGGCTCACAGCTCCTGCTCTCATTGGATACCATTGTTGTTCCTCACACTCCATTCTCTGTGTGGCCACAGCTACACCCACCTTCTGCTGGGATAAATCCCACTGAGGCTGGGGCAGGACAGGAAAACCATCCTGGAGTGCAGAGAGGGTTCAGTCTGGCAGTGCTGATTTCCCAGGAAAAGGCTCTCTTTGGATCTGGTAGGAAATGTCGGGATACACAGGACACAAAATCAAGGATTTCTCCACTTGCTGTCACTAAAGATTTCCTGGTATTTTCTTAAGGACAGGTCAGTTCCTGCCCAGGGAAGTTTGGGTAATGCTGTTCCCAGTTATGTCTGTCCAATGGACTGGGATCCAACCATCCTGAAAAGTTCCTCAGAGGGAAGGGAGGCAGCCCCATGGATGGAACCCTGTCGGGTACATGGAGCACATTCCATGTCCTGCAGGATTCATGGAGCAGCTTCTCCTCCCACAGTGGTTGGTGGGGGCATCTCAGTCCCTTAACCTTCAGATCTTGTTTTCAGATCTTTTCTGAGTTTTTCAGGTTGTCTGGGTTTGGCTGCTGAGACTCACAGAGCAAGGAGGGGGTAGGAAGGGTCCAAACTGCCAAACCAAGAGTGTGTGATGTGAAAACATCATCCCCAAAGCACGGAGGAGATGTGACAGCACTGGGGTCACTGCTGTCCCTGTGCTGGGTGGGTCATGTGAAGATGCTGAGCAGAGAGAGCAGAGACAGCCAAGGGCTCTGTGGTCTGTCTTGAGGGTCATTTCACACCAGCAGAAAGCAGGGATAAACTGTTTGGAAGATGTTATTATCCAAGAGTCTGAATATCAGAGAATCATGGAATCCCAGGATGGTTTGGGATCGAAGGGACCTTAAAGACCATCTTGTTCCACCCCCTGCCATGGGCAGGGACACCTTCCACTAGCCCAGGTTCCTCCAAGCCCCGTCCAATCTGGCCTTGGACACTTCCAGGGATGGGGCAGCCACAGCTTCTCTGGGCAACCTGTGCCAGGGCCTCCCCACCCTCCCAGCTAAGAATTCCTTCCCAATATCCCATCTAACCCTGCCCTCTGGCAGTGGGAAGCCATTCCCTGTGTCCTGTCCCTTCATGCCTTGTCCAAAGCTCCTCTTTGGGAGCCCCTTTAGGCCCTGGAAGGGGCTCTCAGGTCTCCCTGGAGCCTTCTCTCCTCCAGGTGAACCCCCCCAGCTCTCCCAGCCTGATCCAGAGCAGAGGGGCTCCAGCCCTTGGATTTACTCCAGCAGCTCCACGTCCTACTAATGTTGGGGGAGCCTGGACACAGCACTGCAGGTGTGTGGTGGAACTGTATCCTAGAGGTCTGTATGAGCATTACACATGTTATTGTTTCACCATAAACAGTGTGTCTCAGCTGCAGGGGTTATTTTTCCTGGATAACTTTAACTCCAGAGCAGGGGGGTGAGGGTGACCACTGCAGAAGGACCTGAGGCAGCAGGGAGCCACTGGGACGTGCTGAAAGCAGGGAACCGTGGTGTCTGAAGGAGGGAGAATTCATCCCAAAGGCAGGTGGGAATCCACATGAGGGGCTGTGTGTCCAGGTCTGCCCCAGCCCTGGGCTGCCCACACCACCCAAACCAGCTGCTGGTCCCCAGGCAGGGCAGGAGGAGGTTGGTCCCCTCCCAGGGCCAGTCTGACACCCTGGAACATGGATGCTCTCTGAGTCTTCCCAGGACAGGCCGTTCCTCAGCAGAGAATCAGATCCTTTGTGCTGCCTCGGGGCTTTTTCTCTGCCAGCACAGGCAGCGTTTAACACCTGACACAGAGCATTTCAACAGAGCCCGAGCCATGAGCACATTCCCTGTGAAAAGCCATGGCCCTGCAGTTGCTCAGCCTCTCCTCACTGCCACGGGGACATTAAACCTTCAGCAGTTCCCTCTCCAAAGGCGGATTTTGGTTCCCTGCCTGGAAAAACAGTAGGCGAAATAGTAAAACCTTAAATTCGAACATGTGTAACTTATACATCTTATTTCCATTTTCAAGCAACATTCCCTTAGTAAGACATGAGGAAAAAATTACCATCTGCCTCAGAATATCTCGGTGGAGCATTTATCTCCCAGCCACGATAACCGAAGCTCAGTAATTTCTCCCTTTCCCCCCAGTTCAGGTTGAGAGACAAATTTGTTTAGTGTCCTGACTGGGAAGCCTTGCCAGCTGAACTCAGAGGGTGGGATTTGCTGCACTGTCACAGTTCTTACCCTGCAGCAAAAGGTTTCCTCCCAAACCACTTGGCTTCTGGCAGAGAAGGAGGATGGCTGTGGGATTAAACCCGTGGCCTAAACTGCCCTGGATGCGGGCTCTGGGATTGCTTTGTGCAGAGGTTGGGCACGAACTCACCCTTGGGAAGGTGAGGGCAACAATGTGCCCTTCCCTGGGAGGTTCCTCAGAGCTGGGATGTGCTCTGTGTGTGTGGCAGGCTGTGGCTGGTGTTTGAAGGGACTAAAAGTGTGAGTTACTATTACAGCTGGATAAAAACACAATCCGTGCTCCCATCTGTGGCTGGAGGCTCACAATTGTCCCAGAGCAACCCAGAGACTTGCCAAGGCTCTGCAGGCAGGCCAGGGCTCAGCACAGAGCCACCTGAGCTGCTGAGTGTTCCCTCCTCATCACCCCAGCACCTCCAAGTTCAGCTCAGGCTGGAGCCTTTTCCACACACCATTGCTGAACTCTGGAGTTCCTGACTCGGGCCAAAGGCACCCAAGATTTCCACATTTCCTCCCCAAGACTGGGGCACTGTTAAGCACAGAATCCCAGAATCATGGAATCATAGAATCCCAGAATGACAGAATAACAGAATCCCAGAATCATGGAATCACATAATCCCAGAATCATGGAATCCCAGAATCACAGAATCCCAAAATCACAGAATGACAGAATCCCAGAATTTCAGAATCACAGGATCAGAGAATCTCCTGATTTGGAAGGGATCCATCAGGATCATCGAGTCCAACTCCTGGCCCTGCACAGAACACCCCACCAATCCCCCCATGTGCTGAGAGCCTTGTCCAAACACTCCTTGAGCTCAGACTAAGAACAGCTCAGATCAGTTGTGTTCAGCCCTGTGGAAATAAGGCTCTTCCTGCTAATATTGAGTGTTCTCCTGTGACTCCCCTGTCCCTTTGGTTGGTATCTCGAGTTCCATGTTAATGCCACGAAGGGGGTGTCCCTGTGCCCATGCAGAGCTCTGCAGAAGTGCCTTAGGACACGAGGTGGGCAGTGTCTGTCAGGGGACAGGATCCACGGAACAGGAAGGTTGTTTTAACATCTGGAAGAGCCCCAAAGGGCTCCCAGGAGCACCCAGCTGTACCTGCAGGGTTGCTAAAATGCACTGAGCTACAAAGGATGGAGGGCAGTGGAGGTCTGACCAACAGGCCCATGTGACAGGCACGTGCTCTTTATCTGGTTTGGGAATTTCAGTATTCCAGTGGTATTATGGCCTGCAAGCAACCACTGCCTTGTCTGGAAGTCACTCCTCTTGGATTCTCCAGCTGCCTCTCCTCCAACTGGTTTCATTATCAGAGATCCCCCAGTGAGACTTGTGGTTCATAGATCACCCTGTAGATCCTGTGACAGGTCAGGAATGGCCTCTCCGACCCTATAGATCCCATGACAGGTCAGGAATGGCCTCTCCCACCTTATAGATCCTGTGATAGGTCAGGAATGGCCTCTCCCACACAGACAGAAGCTCCTGTTAACGTTCCACGTCCGGAGTCATTGCCATGTGTGTGACTCAAAGCCCTGCAGGGCTGGCAGGGCACAGTGATTGATGGTAACTCAGCTCTTTCCTTTCCCATTCCAGGGAGTCCCCCGTGGACTGCAGCGTGAGCAAATGTGGCAAACTCGTGGGAGCAGGGACAGAGTCCAACCCCATGAGCTACAGCACCTACATGGATGAGAAGAACGGGCCTCCCCCCAACATGACCACCAACGAGAGGAGGGTCATCGTCCCAGCAGGTACCACCAACCCCCGGGTCCTGCCTGCTTGCACTGAATCAGGACAACAAGCAGACAATTAGTGCTTCTTCTTTTTTTTTCCCTTCATTTTTTTCCCCTGGAATGAAGAGTTGTTTTGGTGTGTTGAACCAAATCCATCTCCCGTCATGTGTTAGAGGAGAATCTGCTTCCTGGGACACAGAGAGGATGATCAAAGAGCACAGTTCAGAGGCAAGATTAAGCATGAAGTGGGTCCAAATCATAACTCCCATGATGCTCCCAGGATCCAGATGCACTTTCATGTCATATTGATTGATTCAAAATGAGCTATTTTGTTTTCATTTTTTTTGTTAGAAGCAGAAACCCAGAAAAATTATATTTTGCAGGAACTACATTATCCTTCCAAAAACTGTTACACAGAAACATTCCTGTCCAGCTCTGTTTGCATTTGACATCCACATCTGCTCTCTGGAGTTGGCAGGATGCATTGGATGCATTTGGATAGTCAAGGGTGAGCTGCTGGGGAGGCTGAACCTGGAATGAGGAGCCTTTTGCCCTGAAAAGTTTATAAACACCACCCATACAAATAGGCAAGCCCAGGAACTTTCCAGCCAAGGAGCCAAGTGCTGGCCCAGTTTCTGTCCCAGAACTTGCTCTGATTTGGAGGGTTTCACCCAGGGCAGGGAGGGTTGCCCTGAGGTTGTGCCCAACCCAGCAGACAAACTGCACTCGTGGAATTCAGCTCTGCTCTCTGACCGTGGCTTGGCCACGAACAGATGACAATTCCCAAGCATTTGGTTGCCATTTAGGATGAAAAGGAAAAGCCAGTAAAAGACTGACAGCAAATCTCCAAGGCCCATGGAAGCTGTCCTTGGGCCCTGCTCTGGCTGAGCTGGTTGGGGACAGCCCTGGAGCCGTTTGCAGTGTCAGCACTGCTCACCCAGTCATTGTGTTATCAAAGGTGTTCAGCATCCATCCTGCTCCTCACCATGCTGTTTAGGCATGTTTAAAAACACCAAGGGGGAGCTAAAGTTTAGCATTGTTGAAATAGGGGAAATTTTAGTGCCCTCGGTGGAGGAAAAGGTTTCGAATCTTCTCTTAGAAGGGAAGTGAAGAACAGGACTTTTTCTCCCCATCATGAGCATCCACAACTCAAAGCCTTGAGAAACTTGTGAAACAGCAGTGATTTACCAGACTTTGGAAGACAATAGTGAACATCATCCCAGACCTCTGGCTGCAGGACACGAGAAGACTCATCCAAGAAAGGCATTTGGAAATTTTAATATAATCCAGAATTGAGATTTATAGTGCATTAGAGTGAAGATAAGCAAGAATAATGTCACATTAGGCTTACAATAGTAGTAATAACAAACTCCAAACCATGTTTCAAGAAGGCAGTTTTTCAGAGACCATTCAATATCTTTTACAGTGTTCAAAGGGAGGCCACAAATTCAATCTGCCCTCTAGATGTTGTGTGTTTTTGCAAAACTCAAGACAAATAAGTCTTTCAATTAAAAAAAAAAAAAAGAATCCTCCCTTGAATACTTCCATTGTAAAATTTGCAGCCTTTTGCCAGTGCTTAGAAAGCAGAATTTAAATTAACTTTGCCAAGACATGAAGGAAATCCATGTGTCGTTCCCAAAGCAGACTTGCAAAGGTAGAGGGCTGTAAATTCCATGTTTAGAATTGAGCTTTAAGCAACCCAGGTTTACTGGAGACTCAGTGGGGAAATGTCACAGTTATCAGTTCAGTATTCCGTGGTCCCATTTCTCCATTTCATGCTGTTATTCTGGCACTGGAGTGCCCAGGAATGCACCAGGTAGAGGCACTGCCCAACCTTTTGTGCCCAGGGATCCCCACACCCCGAGCATACACAGTTTACAGCCCTGGCCCAAGGAATTATTTGATAAAGTTATTTTACAAATCTGTGGCAGAGGCATCTCTTGTCCCTGCCCAGAGCACACCCTGTGATCCTGTATCCTTCTGATCCATGTTCTCTGCTCCTCGGGACCTGAGGTGTTTGAGTTTGTCTTGGAGCAATGGCCCAGCTGCTAATGACACACCAAACATCTCCAAAGTTTCAACTTCACTTTGCAATCCTCTCCAGCTGCAACAGAACATGAATTTGCAGCTTAAATTTTGAAATGGGCTTCGTGGGGAGCAGCAGCACAGGAAACATCTGAAAAGGCAGATATGCTCTGCAATGACTCTGTGAAATGGTATCGTGGCAGCAAGCCTTGCTGGGGCTCTCTGAGCTCAGGCTCTTTGCAAAACTCAAAGGCTGATTTCTTTTTTTAACTCCCTCCCCATGGGCTCTGGGTCTCCAGCCGGGTTCAATCTCTCTCCTACGTCACCACCAGCAATAAAGATTCCCCAGCTGGGGCTCTGCTGACAGTCCCTAATGATGCAGGAGACAGGAGAGAATCCACATTGCCCTCCAAGAGCTGGAGGCTTTTCCAGGAGGTGGAATTGTGTTCCTGTCAGCAGGGTGAAGGCTGTGACTCACAGCCATGGCAGCCTGCTCTACTTAAGCAATAAGAGGGTTTTTTCAGAGTCCCTTTGCTGACCATAAATCCCCCCATCCCCCTTTCAAATGTCAGCTGTGGGGACCTCCTGATGTACTTGTGAGGGACGGTGGGACTGCAGAGCCCTGATGTCACTGCAGAGCCACTGCTGGGCCAGGCATCCCCTCTCAAAGGGATGAGCTGCCTTTGGGAAGCTTTTTTCCAGGAGAAAAGTCCCAGTCCAACGTCACCAGTGTTGTTCCCAAGCAGAGGAATAAGATCTGGGCAGGTGGGAGGCAGTGCAGTGACCCTGCCAGTGCATCCAGCTCAGGTCACAGCACAGAGCTTGCTCATCTTCCAAAATGCGTTGGGATCAGTAAATTCCATGGATTTGGCTGTGGGAGCAGTGGTTAATGCTTGGACTGGGCTATAGTGAGTGCTGGAGGCTCGTGTGTAACCATCCCTTGTGCTTCCCTGGCAGATCCCACCCTCTGGACCCAGGACCACGTGCGCCAGTGGCTGGAATGGGCTATCAAGGAGTACGGATTGATGGAGATCGACACCACCATCTTCCAGAACATGGATGGCAAAGAGCTCTGCAAGATGAACAAGGACGACTTCCTCAGAACCACCTCCCTCTACAACACAGAAGTTCTGCTGTCTCACCTCAGTTACCTCAGGGAAAGTGAGTATTGCCCTGGCTCAGCCCTGTCCTGACACGCTGAAGTGGGTGTTGCACTTCTAGGGATCTTCCTGCAGGATGAAGGGGAGGGAAAGGGAGGGAAAATGAAGAGAGAAACACAGGCAGAGACAGCAAACATGGAAACAAGGAATAAAAAGTGGGTTGGAAAGCTCAAATTAACTCAGATGGAGTTCCTGGTGCTACCAGGGAGGTGAAGAACTGAGCAGGACAATGAGATTAGACAGTCCTACAGATTATAAAAACATCTGTGGCTACGTGATAAAAACACATATATTTGCTGTAGAGATCAAATCAAACATTAACTGATGTGGCACAGGCAAATTAGCCCCAAATTTGCATCTGGAGGGCTGTGCCCTTTCCCTCAGGCTTCTGGTGAAACTTCTTCAAAACAGGACCCACAACTGGCCTGAGCTGGAGATTTCTTGTGTTCTTGGAGGCCCAGGTGGGTTGGAAAGAGAAAAAAATCCAAGAGTGATTCCCCAATGTAAAGGTGCTGAAGCAGACACCATGCAGATGACCCAAAACTCACAAAAAACTTGTGGAAGCTCTTTATTGCTCCTCTCTGTCCCACAGTAGAGCCTGGGATGGATCCAACAGTCCTTTTTGCTGCATTGAGCCCCAAAACAGGAGCTGTGAGCAGTCTGCTGAGCTACTTCTGGAACAGCATTATCCCAGCAGCCCAGACAGGAATGATCCCCTTATGGATGGCACAGGCTCTCCAGGGAGGCTGAGTTTCAAACTCAGATTCCAAGATTTCTGTGCAACATCAGCTTATCCACAGCTCCCAAATGTCTCCCCTTCATCTACTAATGGAGGCAAAAGCATCTCCTTCCCTCACAAAGGTGTGCTAAGGATGATTGTGCTGTGATGAGGCCAGAGAACTGGAGCTGAGCCCCACATGCTCCAGGGTTTTTTCCAATGAAACAGTTTTTGTAGGACTGTGATTATTTAAGGACTCGAAAATCAGGAGAAGGTGCCATAAATCAAGGTGGAAGCACAGGGAGAGAAAGAAAAAAGTTTATTTTCTGCACTAGAAAATCAAATTGTGATGGAAAGGCAGCTGAAGATGTCTCCTCTGGCCAGCACAGGCATTTATTGAGGGTGTTCCTTCAAAGCTGGGCAGTGCTGGTCTCTCCCTGCCTAAAATCAGTGGGAGCTTTAGAAATTACAGTGGCACAAGAGTTAGATCACAGATGGGTGCCTCTGTAAGCCCCACCTTTATTTTTTTTTGAGAAGCTGAGCCAAGGAAATGATTCACAACAAATAAAAGCTGTTGGATTTGAACAGCTTTTGTCCCTTGTGGCTTCACAATAAAATAATTTCCCATCCAAAAGAATTGGTGGATTCCATCCTGTTTCATCAGCAAAGAGCTGCTGGGTCACAGGACACTTTGGAAGGCAGGTTTGCACACAGGATTACACACTTTCCTGGGACAGGGAAGGCAGTGCTGTGAAGGCAGAGCTGCTTGGGCCAAACCTGCTGACTTTGGGCAAATCAGGCTCTTTGTCACTGGAAATGTGTCTAAATTCCCAAAGGATAAATCCTGAAGTGAGACACTTGAATTGCCTTATTGATAAGGCTGGAGGATGGACAGGGAGAGAGAGTTGTGTGGGTTTTGATCAGGTTCAAATTCACCAGGCTGAATCTGAAAGGTTTGGCAGAGGAGTTGGATTCCTCTGTTTCTTTATCTCCAGTGCCTGCTGTCCCACATTTGGGGTGTACAAAGTCAGGACCATTAACCATTGTTGATCTCATGGCATCAGCCTGAAGACCTGGATTCAGTGGCCACCTTTCCCATCTGCTGCTGCCCATTTGCTCAGGAACAAATTCCCAGTTGATCCCACCAAGCTTTAGGTGCCTGAACTCTGGTCACACTCTGGTCTCCACTGACAGAACAGAAGCCTCAGGGCACGGTGACGTTCAGGAAAACAGTGCCCTGGTTCACATCTTGCTTTAAATGGCTGAAATGAGAAGGAATAATCCTCTGCCTCAGCTCCTCTGGGCCTCAGTTTTACTTTCTGCAAAATGGGGCCAGTCCTCCTGACTTCCCTTGGTCTCATCCATGGCCATGGGAAGCCTGTGGAGCAGGATTGTGCCTCCTGTCTCCCAAGAGGGCCCGAGGGAGCCCTGCTGCATTTGCTGCAATAATGATCATAAATATAACGTCCTGCCAGGGGAGTACCTACAGTGATTTCTGTGCTCTTGAGCCAGTGCAAAACCCCAGCAACTTTGCTGGATTCAGGAAAATCCTTTATTCCTTTTTCACCTGGAAAGGAGGGTTCAATCCCAGTCCATCCCAGCTTTTCTGATCAGAGATCTCCCTGTGCTCAGACGTCATGGGAGTGCTGTCCTTGTTAAAGCAGCTCCTGTGTGCCTGGGGCCAGGCAGCCTCCAGGAGCATTCCTTTCCTTTCCCTGCAGCTGTTCCCAGGCTAATGACAGTCTGGATTGGGGATGGCTGGTGAACTCCCTCCTGGAGTAACGCCTTCCAAAGGAGCTGATTGTTTTTCCAGCCTGGCTTCCAGCGGATGTTTAGTGCCGAGCTCTGAGCTCAGTGCCAGGGGGAGATGGGCTGCTTGTTCATCACTTTTCCCCCTCTGGAAGATTGGTTGTTCCAGAGACACCCAGCTCTACTCCTGCTCAGGGTGGGAAATATGTGATGGGAACAAACTCAGGAGAATTTGGGGGGATTGCAGACCCACAGGCTCGATTACCTCTGCCCAGTCCCTCTCTTGAAAAGTGTTCATCCTCTCAAGGTGCAACACTGGGTATGTGAGGCCAGTGGGTCCTCAACTTTGGTGTTTGTTTTCCAAGAATCAACGCTGCTCTGAACTTTCTGACCCTGTTTGTTCGCCAGGGAGGGAGAGTCCTTCAAAACGAGCTTCCTCAGAAGGTTTTCAACATTTTACCCTCCTGATCAGGGTGAAAATGTTCTTAAACCTGCCTGTGAAGTACCTTATTTTGGCACATCTGAGTCCAGATAGAAAAGATAAAGCAGTAACATCTGCAAGACCACAACAAAAGCTCACTCTTAGTTTTGCAGATAGAAGGTTCAGGTGAGGTACTTAATATAAACCAAACTCATATCAAGCACCTTTAGTCTCCAGGCAGCACTTAGGTCTGGATCAGAATGGTGCAGTTGTTTCCTGTTTCCTTTGCTATTGAAGGAGTCAGGAATTCCGGTGGCTCTGATCTTTGGGAGATTTCAGATTCCAGCCCCAGTTCTGCAGCACTCTCCATTCTTTGGAGCCTCTCAAAGCATCCCAGTAGCTTTTTCAGGGAACTTACTGTCCATCCTCTCCAAACAGTCATTTTTCTTTATGTGTTTCTCTCAGTTGTCTCTCCAAAATTGGGAAGCCATGGCTTGTTTTTCCTTCTCTCTGTTTATCCCCACACACCTTGGGATTCCAGGCTGACTGATCTTTTTCAAACACGTTCTGCCTGGTGAATCTTCTCTGGGCAGCCAGTGGGAAGGGAGATTTAATGTTTCCGTGCTCTGTTTGGGATGAAGATCAAAAGAAGCCCGAGCTGTCACCTCCCTGGTGATGGGGGTCAGTGTGTGGGGTCTACAAATAAAAAGAGCTTGAAGGGGAAAGAATGAGACTGTGGTGAGAAGCAGAAATCTGCCTGGTGGTTTCAAGCTATGTATTAAAGCCAAACAAAACTATCCTGCTAAATGCAGCAGAACCTGGGTTGTACCAGGAGCTGTGGAGGGAAGGCCATGAGGCTTTCAGAAAAGGAGGAGAAAAAAGACTTTTTGATTAAATAGACCCCAAGACTGTGAAACTGAGATGTTCCTGCACCTCAGAAGGATGAACTGCCTCGTGAGAGGGAAGGTTTTACAGGGAAAAACCTCTCCTGCTCTGGTTTTCAGTCCTTCTCCACCTTCCTTTGTAATTAATGCAAGGGAAATAAAAGAAAGGGAAAGGTGGGGGGAACCATAAGATAAATGTTTAATATTAATTATAGGAGACTGTATTGATAATACCAGAAAAATCTGCTCTAATCTCCAGTGTCACACACCCTGTGAGGGGCAATAAGAACAAACCCAAAATTCATCCCAGCCAAAGCTTTGCCCAAAGAGTGAGGGAGGGAGCAGCCTGGCCTCTGTCTGTCTGTCTGCTTCCCTCTGTCCTGAGCTGTCTCTCCTTTTCTCCCTTTTCCTCCTTCATTGAAACCCTTAATAGGAAACACATTTCCCTTTCTGTGGTGTTCCCACCAGAAACCTCAGACTGCCGGGCAAAGGTGAGAACTTTTAGCAATTAAACTGGGGGAGGCGCCGGCCCTTTCCAGTGGCTCGGGGTGCATTTTTTTGCCTAAAGTAGCTAAAAGTCGATCGTACCGGCTTGTTCGCGGCTATTCATCACCCCGCCCCCACCTCCTCCTGCAACCAGGCATTTGCAGCCTATTCAGTCATAGGAAAGCTGTTCCCGAATTCCCCAGCACTGCCCTGTCTGGCAGGGCCGGGCTGCGCTGGGTGTTGCACTCAGGATTCCTTAAAATACCCCGAAAAGCAGAGAGGGGTGGGCAGGAGTTCCCCCACAGATATTCAAGAAAGAAACGCCACAGCCAGAAACCACCTGATGAGAACAGGAGTTCTGTGGAGGAGAACATGAGTGAGTTCTGTGGATGAGAACACGAGTTCTGTGGATGAGAACACGAGTTCTGTGGATGAGAACATGAGTTCTGTGGATGAGAACACAAGTTCTGTGCATGAGAACATGAGTTCTCTGCATGAGAACACAAGTTCTGTGGATGAGAACATGGGTTCTGTGGATGACAACATGAGTGAGTTCTGTGCATGAGAACATTTCTGTGGATGAGAACATGAGTTCTGTGGATGAGAACACAAGTTCTGTGGATGAGAACACGAGTTCTGTGGATGAGAATATGAGTTCTGTGGATGAGAACACGAGTTCTGTGCATGAGAACACGAGTTCTGTGGAGGAGAACACGAGTTCTGTGGATGAGAACACGAGTTCTGTGCATGAGAACACGAGTTCTGTGCATGAGAACATGAGTGAGTTCTGTGCATGAGAACATGAGTTCTGCGGACAAAGCTGCTCCAAATCCTCCAGCAGCAGCAAAAGGGCAGCAAACCTCTCTAAATACTGAAGCCAACCTTTGGCTGTCCCAGCTTTCCCAGCCAAGGCGCCCTTGGGATCCCTTTGAACTCCTTCCCTCCCAGTTAACCCTGTTTTCCATCCTGGCCTTTTGAAACATCCCATCTTGCAGCACCTGGTAGAATCCACCCTCCAGGCTTTGTTTTCCAGCCCCTTCTGCCTCTGTGTGAATGCTGTCCTTGGCTTTGTTTGCATTTGGGGAAGGAAAGGAATCCATAGGAACGGAGGGCAGAGGGCCAGGAGGATCCAGCACCTGCAATGGCTCTTAGTTCTGGCAGCCCGATCCTCAGCTCCCACAGGAAAGCAGGACACTCTGGGACACTGAGGGGCAAGTGAGGTCAGGGCTAGTTGGGATCATGTGGATTAGAGGAATGTGGAGACTGCAGGGCCCAGTCACAAGATCCTAATGTGGGTACTGTAGGACCCAGAGGTGTTCCTGGCCCTGCCAGAGGCTCTGGGGTGCTCAGGTCAGCACAGACATCGGGATTCTGCATCGCTTGTTATGTGGTGCTCAGCACTGAGCACCTTCCACGGGACAGAATCTCACTGCACAGGGGCTGGGGGGATGTGAAAAGCAGAAAGGGTCTGGAAAAGCACTTTTCACAGCAGGATTGGTGCCTGCTCCAGTTCCCACCATGAGTCCCTACAAACAAGGACCTCTGCCTTGTTAGGGATGTCACTGCCTGATGCAGCAGAAACTTTTCCAAGGAACTGGAGGAAAGATGAGCTTGGAAGATTATGTAAACACATATAACCAGAACAACCATGAAATGTGCATTACATGCTGACTTCTGAGAACTCACAGGGTCTCTTCCTCTATTTCCAGGAGAGTTTCCAGGAGAACCAAAGTAAAATGCTCAGAAAACAACATTTCCACCCCAGACTGTGCAAAACAGAGACCCTTCCAATGGGTTCTTTTTTGTGCTGCTCATGAATAGTTGTGAGTCAAGTGGGGCTGGATGGAAAGGCCACTTTGAACCAAGAAAACTTTCAAAATCCCCAGGGCATGGGAGATGCTGGAATACCAGTGTGGTTTGTGCAGCTGCTGGCCCCAAACCAAGCATGTGACACTCTAAAAATGGCCAGGTCCTGACAGTGCAATTCATGGCTTTTCTACTGTATGTTCCTCAAACAGGAAATTTCTCTATCACAGCCAGAGAGAGAAAAGCTCCTTCCTTATCCTGCAGTACAATCTGTGCCACAGTCACTTCTGGAGGCTCTGCTGGGATAGATAATGTACCTGGATAAATGGGCTGGACAAGCTCAGCTTTTATATCAGTTTTCAACAGGGGACATCAAGGTGCTCAGTGAAGGACACAAATGTCTTTACTTTGTGCAAGCAGAGAAACAGCAGCACATGTGGGACATGCAGCTCCCAAGCTTTTAGAAGAATTCCGTAGAAAATATGTGCCTAATGGGGTGGAAAATTTGGTCTTTAGATCCCAATGACAGCATTTCCTCCCTGCCTTCGTGGTTGCCCATGGCAGAGCACATTCAAGCTGCAATAACTCCTTTTCTTTTCCTCACAGGTAGCTCACTGCTGGTCTACAACACTCCATCCCACACAGAACCCTCCTCACGTCTTGCCACCAAAGAAGGTCAGTGTTTTGCATATGAATGTCCTGCCTCCCTGTGCTCTCATGATGGTTTTGATTGGGTTAAAATTAGACCTTTTATATAATAACCCTGGTGTGAAAATGTTCTGCTCTGCTCTGCCTGCCCAGCATTTTAATAGAATAATCAAATAAATAGAGTAAGTGGCGGTTTTCAGCCCAATCCATGGTGGAAATCCCATCCCTGCTGGGCCAGAAAAGGTGTGTCTGTCACTGTCACACTCATGTGCTGCTGAGCTGCTGAACTGATGGCATAGTTTCTGCTCTTGATGGGAAACAGTTCCAAATCTCAGATGCACAGCCAGGACTGAGACACTGTTTGTCTCTGAGTTCGTAGTTCACAGTTCATCTTCCCACCATAAAGTCCATTACTGAGTAAAGGCCACTCAGGTATTCCAAACCCACCCAGGAATCTGGTTTCAAGCAGCAAGGCAGAACAAATGTATCTTTCTGACACTTCCATTTTGGAACATTTGGATTTTCTTTTTTCAAACAACCCCATTTTTTTTAATCTGTTAGAAATTCTGATGATGTAAACCTTGAAGTTTCAAAGTTAACATTCAGGAGGTTCCTTCAGGCTTTTGAGTTGGTTGTGTATCCTTCAGTCAGGTGTCTCAGGTTATCTTCTGCAGCTCCAGTCCTGCCCCTTTTTCTTGTTTTTAAGGAAAAACTGGATTCTCAGTCGTGCTAAAGTTGTGAGAGTTGGTGTGATGGGTGTGATCAGAGAATCCCAGAATGGTTTGAGTTGGAAGGGACCTCAAGGGTCATCTCATTCCAATGCACTGCCACGTGCAGGGACACATGTGGTGCTGCACAACCCCTGCCTACATAAGGCAACAAGTCCCAGTTGAATTGATAAAGGCCAAATAGGGTGAAAAAAGAGCAAAAATCTGTTCTTGTGTTCCATAACTCACTTGTAGGATTTTATAACTCACTGGGTAGGACTGGGAGCCTTGGCCTTGGTCTTCCTTTGCCTTTGTGCAGCTGCAGGAACGTTGGGCTTGTTCCCTGCACTGTGTTCAGCTCCTCATTTGAAAAGTTTCTGGGACAAGTGTGCAGTGTTGTGTTCTGTGAGACAACCCCCCTAGAACCAGCCTCCTCCTGTCCCCAGACAATCTCCTCACCTCATATATAAACACCCTCATGGGTGTTTATATACACATATATTTACAGACACATTTATTTTTATATATTTGTGTATAAACATTACATAAATAGATATTTATATATTTTATATAAACACGTATATGATTTTCAAGAAAACTTAGCTTCATGGACGAGCCACAAGTTTGCATTTTGAAGAATAGTGGGGAAAGGCAGAGGTTCTTTTATTTAAGCAGCTGGAGAGACAAAAGCTGCCATTTCCCTGAAAGGCTGCAGCAAACAGCTCCCACATTTAACAAGCCCCTGCATGGAGTGTCTGGCTGCCTCCTGGACTTGCTGCTCTCCCAGCCAGCCCTTCTTTCCCCTTGCATTTCATCTCCAACATCTGTCTTGGACCCTGCACACGACATCAGGGCTGGCTTTTCCAACAGCTCCTTTTGTGCAGCCTGTAAATATCCACTTGAGCTGTGTGTTCCCCGTTCTCTCTGCTGAGACAGGCACTGGTTGAGAAAACCTGGGATATTACAGAGACAAAGCCCTTCAGGCTCTGCTGGGACTGCCTTGCCACTGACAGCCTATTTAGAATTGATAAGAGCTGGGCCTGCTCCTGGGTGAATAAAGCACACACGTGCTCCTGCACAATTCCCCCCAAACACCCCCCAACCCTCTGCTCTGTCTGTCTCAGGCCAGGTGGTTGCTAAAAACAAAGAGAAAAAACCCACGATTTTTTTTTTTAATTAAAGAGAAATGCTCTGAATAAAATTGCACTTCTCTGACTTTCTTAAACCTTTTATCTCTGTGACTTGGGCCTCGAGTCACTCAGGCTGAAAGAAATTTGAGGGGAGCAGAGTTCCTCCCCCTCCACTTTTACTGGCCCCTGGGGTGTCCCTTTAGTGCTGCCAGCAGAGGTTGGGTTGCTTTCTGTCAGCCTGGGGTTCTGAACTTCACATGGTACTTTCATCCTGTGGCAATAAAGGGCTGAGCACACCCACGGGGCAGCCAAATAAAAATTAAGAGCTACACAGAAATGCTGAAATCCCATCTATTCCTCTCCTGTTTCTTCCTTTCCTCGTTGTTCCTTCAATGTTGAATCTGCTGTGGGATCAAGTGACCCACTTCAACCCACTGATTCATGCTCCAAATGTTATTGGGGAGATAAGGTGTCAGGATAAGAGGCAGGAGAACATGACAGGCTGACAGACAAGGAGTTGGGGGAGCAGAATGTAGTGTCTCATCCAATATCACAGAAGAAACTCGTAATGAACATAAAACTGGGCTTGTAATTCCTCAGCCTTGCTCTAGTCCATCAGGCAACAAGATTTTCCTTGCTTCCTTTTAAGGCTTTTCAATGGGTCCATGTCAGGATGATGCTGTTATTTTTGGAAAAGAAATTTCAGGTTAAAAATCGTGATTTTTTATAAGTTAACCTCTCAAAAGATTAAACATTTTTCTTTATGTCCATGCATCTTGAATCTACTAATCCTGTCAATACTTCTTCTCTCTATGCCTGTGAATAAAACCAGACAAATTTTTCTAACCACCTTCCCTTGAGGATTCCAAAGCAGGAGGATGTGATGAAATAGCACAAGAAACGTCAGAGAGAGGAAAAAAATACTGTTTTCTTCACTCCTCCTGTGATTTTTCTGAGCTCACATCAGTGATGCCAACAAGGCACCTGTGCAGGTTGCAGGGAGAGCCCCACACTGTGCATGCACTGACCCTGCTTTACAGGGGGAACAAACCATCTCCATGGCCAAAGCCAGGCTGCAGCTGCAGCACAGACAGCTGCAGATGTTCCAGATGCAGCACATGGCTCCCAAATTGTTCCAGACAGAGCAGGGCAGCGGGGTGGTGCCCCCAGGAGCCCTTGGCCCGTGGCCCAGGGCTGGCCCAGGGCTGGTTTTGTGCCCTGGCTCTGCACACAGAGCTGCCTTGGCTGCCTGCAGCTGCAGACTTTACTCCCTTTTTCCCTTCTATTTTCTGCCCTCTCACTTCTCCTCTGCAGTGCCAGCTCTGCAAACAGCAGGACCTGCAGCACTGCTCTGGGGGAGCTAAACTGCTCCAGACACTGCTTCCAGAAACTGCTTCCAGAAACTTCCTTGGCTGGGGCACGAGGCAGCCAAGCTCTGCTCTCCCATCAGCCAGGTACAGCCCTGGGGGTGTTCAAAGGACTCTGGCTGCCTGAGCATCCTCTCCTCTCAGCCCCATAAACACCCCAAAGGATGGCATTTAGCGTCATTGGGACAAATTGTCTTCAGCTGCCTGGGAGAAACAAATTGCCCTAATGAAAATCACCAGGAATTTTTGGCTAGAGAGCAATTTTCTGGGAAGTGTAACGTTGCTGAATGGAAAGATTTGTGTCCCCCTCCCAGCTCCCCAGTGGAGAGAGGGACTGTTTCATTTTCTGTGCCTGTTTGGAGCAATGACTGACCTACTGTAGGTACTGGAGACACAGGACAAGAATCTGAGCTACATTATCTGTGAGTCCAGGGAGATTTAAATTGCTTTCTGCAGAATGGTGTCGTTTCAGTAGGTTTCCATAGGGAGATGGAAAGTATATTCACACACAACAACATTCAGAGGCCACAGGGCTGTGTCCCAGGTGGCTCTGAGCACTCTGGCCTCCCTCCAGCACATTTTGGAGGTCTGTGCTTGCTTTGAGTGTGTCGGGGGCTGCGTAATTCCCGTGTTTAATGTCTAGAGGGCCGTGCAGGGGCTGAACCCGGGCAGGGCAGAGGCAGAGTTGTGGAGTGTTGCTGTGTGGAGTTCCACGTGTGCAAACAGGCCCATGGCAGTGCCTGGGGTGTGTGGGGGTGCTTTTAACATATGCTGGTGCCCAGGGAAGTGGGGGCAGTGCAGCGAGGTGGCAGAGTGGGGGGAAGGAAGGCTCAGTGTCACCCGTGAGGATTCAGCAGAGTGATTTCTGGGGCTGTTGCCCCCAGGTTACAGGTATGATCTCAACTAAAATGCTGCATTCAGCAGGTCTGGCCCCCAGCACTGCCCTCTGCACACACCAGGCTCAGACCAAGCCAAGAGAATCCCAGAATCATTTAGGCTGGAAAAGCCCTCCCAGCCCATGGATCCCCCCTGTGCCCGATGCCCACCTTGTCCCCCAGCCCAGAGCACTGAGTGCCACAGCCAGGCCTTCCTGGGACACCTCCAGGGGTGGGGACTCCAAACCTCCCTGGGCAGCCCCTTCCAATGTTTAACAACCCTTTCAGTGCTGAAATTCCTCCTCCTGTCCAACCTGAGCCTCCCCTGGCACAGCCTGAGGCTGTTTCCTCTCATCCTGTCCCCTGTTCCCTGGGAGGGAGCAGAGCCCGACCACCCCTCACTCCCCCCTCCTGTCAGGGAATGTAGAGAGTGAGAAGGTCCCCCTTGAGCCTCCTGGAGCTGGCTGAGATCAGTGGTAAACCAGCACCAGCCCAAAGTCTCATAAATCCAACCCGAATTCAAGCAGAGCACAGGAAAAACGCATGTGATGCCTGCATTTTCAAAGAGGGAAGAAATCTATCTGTGCATCCATAAATATAGATGGAGGAGATGAATTTTAAAGGTTGAAGTCTGTGGCCATCCCATGTTTATGTTTGAATTTTAGAGGCAGTTGTGTGAACAATAAGCATTTGCTTGGATGATTTGTTGCGTTGTTGGCAAATTTAAGAATATAAATAAACCAGTGAGCCCTGAAATCCACCCAGTGTGGGTTCCCGTGGCTTTGTACCCACGTTCATTGTGAGCCCCTAAGGAAGCGTTTCCTGATGTTGGAGCATCAATAAAATCTCTCTCACACCAATTCTCTGGTACCTCACAAAATGTGAGTCCGTGCAGCTGCTTTTTGTGCCATCAGGGCTGCAAACTCACTCCTCTTTCCCCACAGCTTC